TTTTTTTCAAATGCCTTGTTATTATGCTTGGAAGACTATCCTTCCAAGAGCAGAGACTGCTGACCCAGGATTAGAGTGGGCGTGGAGAGGTGTGCTGCCTTTGTTTGAGGACCAGAGACAGGGACATGGTCAACATCATTCTGAGATGCAAGGGGATCCTTCTGACAGCAGACTACCAAGAGATCATCACCACTGCTGCTGAGCCTGCCCTAAACAAAGCTGATCACTGTGCAACTAGTTGGATTTTCTTATCATCACATCCAAATGTGTTCTTTTTGGCTTTGGGTTTTTTTTTTTTTTTTAGTCAGAGTCTCACTCTGTTGCCCAGGCTGGAGTGCAGTGGCACATACATGGCCACCACAGCCTCAACCTGCTTGGTTCAGGCGATCCTTCTTCCTCAGCCTTCCAAGTAGTTGGAATTACAGACAAGCACCATCACACCCGGAGAATTTTCTGATTTATTGTAGAGACGAGATCTTGCCAAACTGCACACGCTGGTCTCAGATCTGTTGGCTCAGGCAATCCTCTCACCTCCGTCTCCCAAAATGCTGGGATTACAGGCATGAGCCACCACGTCCAGCTCATTACACCCATGTGTTTAATTCATCTAAAAGTTGCTGTTTCCATGCTTTGACTACCACCTGGACGCCAAGAGCGCTCTCCCCAGCTGTGCCCCTATCTGAGGACAGCTCTACAATTTTCACTGTATTTCTGAAAATTTATCCCAAGTCCAATGTTTGTCCCTAATTCAATACGTCCAGAACTAAATGATTCACTTCCTCTCTCCCTTTCCCTCCATACTCAATTTCTTCCAGAATGTATTGGTAAAAATGTTAAATTATATAAATAATATTCTTAAGCTCCTCTATATTAATTTCTTTCTTACTGGCTGTGGTCTTCCAACACCAAAATTACCTATACTATGGTGTTTATGTAAAAAAAAAACCATCTTTTATTAAGGTGCACTTACAGGCAAAATGGCATATATTTATAGGTAAAACGGCATGATATCTGTGATTTTAAAAAACTATTTCAGAAAAAAACGTGTGTGTGCATAGAGAACTAGACTAAATAAGAACTGAAGAATGGCATGCGGGGAGGTGGTCACATAGGCCTTCATGCTACTATTCTTGCAACTTATGTATAAACCTTAACATCTCTATAGCAAAACATTCTAAAGGAGGTATCATTCATAGTAAATTCAATTTAACAAATACTTGTAGGACATGAGGTACTAGGTTACTTTCTAGAGATACATGAATGACCACCTTGTCCCTTACTCAAGAAGCTCAAAGCCACAAAGGGAAAAAAGTTAAGAAATATTATAGCCGGGCCCAGTGGTTCATGCCTGTAATCCCAGCACTTTGGGAGGCGGAGGTGAGAGGGTTGCCTGAACCCAGGGATTTGAGACCAGCCTGGGCAATTTGGCGAGAACTCATGTCTACAATAGATTAAAAAAAAAGTTAACTGGGCATGGTGGTGCATGTCTGTAGTCCCAGCTACTAGGAAGGCTGAGGTGGAAGGGTTGCCTGAGCCCAGCAGGCCGCGGCTACAGTGGTCATGAGCATGCCACTGCACTCCAGCCTGGGTGACAGTGAGACTCTAACTCAAAAAAAAAAAGAGAGAGAAAGAAAAGAAAAAAAGAAATAAAAAGAAAAAGAAGAAATATGACAACCAGTAGGAGGAATGGGCACTAGGTGTGCCAGACAGTTAAAGTGGCCATAAATTTTCCCCTCCCTGCATTCACACCCTTGTGAGGCACCATTAAAAACCCACCAGTCACAAGGAGAGACTTTCTCTCCATCCCTTGACTTGCAGTGGTTGGTGGAATGGCAGCAAACACAAGCAGGGAGTGGCCCTGTGCCTTATGGGCCTGCTCTCTCCGGTGTGAGCCTGATATAAGCCAACAGACCCCATGGAGTCAGCCTCAGAGGCCCACCGGTCCCAGCTACGGTCCAGGCATGTGAGTGAGGCCACACTGTGTGTTTGGGGGCGCCTGGCATGTTCTAAGCAAACTCTGACAGAGTGCGTGAACTCATCTACGCCAATTCTGGAGGGTCAAGAAGGGATCTGATGCCACTTAGGGATGAAAAGTCAGGGAAAAGGGACATGAATTTGTGGAGAAGGCACATGCTTCAAAGGTTTCTTTAATGTCAGACTTAACACAGCTGGGTTCTCACAGCTGTTTTATTCCATCTGTTGCCATATGTTGTTTAGATGGAGTGATGTAAAGAAAGTCCTGCCTCTGGTTCCATTGTGCAGCTAACCTTTCAGAGATTGCCACGTGTTGAATTTTTTTTTTTTTGAGTTGGAGTCTCACTCTGTCGCCCAGACTGGAGTGCAGTGGCCGCTCCCGGCGATCCTTCCGCCTCAGCCTTCCGAGTAGCTGGAATTACAGGCACGCGCTACCAGGCCCGGCTGATTTTTGATTGATTGAAGAGATGAAGTCTCGCCAAGTTGCCCAGGCGGGTCTCGAACCTGCAGGCTCAGGCAATCCACTCACCTCAGCCTCCTAAAGCGCGGGATTACAGGCTGAGCCACCAAGCCCGGCTACATGTTGAGTTTTGATATGGTATCCAGGAACAATGCCTACCATGATCTGAAAAGGTGATTAAAATAGGCTTCCCTTTCCCCATTTCTATCCGCGTCAATCAGTGAAGTTTTCATACTCGGTTATTTATTAAAGCGCACTGGTCGACCAGGCTCAGTGGCTCATGCCTACAATCCCAGCACTTTGGGAGGTGGAGGTGAGAGGATTGCCTGAACCCAGGGGTTCAAGACCAGCCTGGGCAAGTTGGTGAGACCTCATCTCTACAATAAATCAAAAATTAGCCAGGCATGGTGGCATGTACCCGTGGTTCCAGCTACTTGGAAGGCTGAGCTACTTGGAAGCCCAGCAAGTGGAGGATGCAGTGGCTGTGAGTATGCCACTGCATTCCAGCCTGGGTGACAAAGTGAGACTCCAACTCAAAAAAAAAAGTGCACTGGTCTATCTGGTACTTTGAGTGAATCTTTCATTATACTTGACTCAGAAGGTCACTTATTGGCCATTTGAAAAATATTGGTTCTGTTGGCATGGTGCCTCAAGCATGTAAATCCCAGCACTTTGGGAGACCAAGGTAAGAGGTTACTTGAGGTCAGAAGTTCAAGAAAAATACTGGTTCACTGAGTCATGTAAATCTTCCAAATGTTGAAATATTTCATTATACAATATATAAAAAAGAAACCCCACATTTGTTAATATGCCACTGCTCTCATCAGAAAAGCCTTCACATACTGGGAAACTGGCAGCCTCAAATTGACTTTTCAAAATGCTAATTTCTGCTTGAAGATTCAAATTTATCACTGGCAGCAAATACTGCCAATAGCTTTTTCCTGAAATGACTAGCATATTTCACTCAGCGGAACATTATTTTCTGCCAGTTGCCCAAGTCTGAATAATCAGAGTTTGTCAGTTACTTGTTCAGGTAAAAATTGCATTAAAAATTGCTGGTGCAGGCCTGAAATCCCAGTGATTTGGGAGGCTGAGGCAGGAGGATTGTTTGAGTCCAGGAGTTTGAGACTAGCTTGTACCGCATAGCGAGACTCCATTTCTACAAACAGTAAAAAAAAAACAAAACACAAAGTAGCTAGTTCCCAACACTTACAGCACGCACAAGCACACAAGTACCTTCTTTCCAAATGAGCACCTTGCTTCATGAGTAAGTGGCAGAAGTGCTTCCTGAGTACGTTCTGTTTCATCACACAGAACATTTAAAAGAATGTATTCAGAGATTAATATCTGAAGAACTAATCATCTGTATTTCTTCATCAAGGACATTTTAAGGTGAACTGCCTTCAGAGGGTGGCAGTGAACAGTCGGTGACTCCTGGTACAGATGGGTACCGTTGCCTTCTTAAGTATTAAGGTGGCAGCAGTTTTACTCACCATTGACTTTTCATCATGTCATGAAAAAGGCAAAAAAAAGTCTTTGCATTATTACGAAAAAATAGTTAGTGAAGTGCAGTGGTTCGCGCCTGGCATCCCAGCACTTTGGGAGGTGAAAGCAAGGATTGCCTAAGCCCACAGGTTTGAGACCAACCTGGGCTCATCTCTACAATAAATAAATAAATAGATAGATAAACAGATAGATAAATAAATGAAGAAGCCTGGCATGGTGGCGCGTGCCTGTAGTTCCAGCTACTTGGAAGGCTGAGGCGGAAGGATTGCCTGAGTCCAGCAGGTTGAGGCTGAGGTGGCCATGAGAGTGCCACTGCACTCCAGCATGGGAGACAGAGTGAGACTCTGACTCAAAAAAAAAAAAAAAAAAATCCTACCTACAGGAATATTGCCTATACTTGCCAAGGACCTCATGCACACCCAGTGAGCTGCCAGAGTGCAGGGCTAACAGCGCCAGTGACACAGGCTCACGGCAGGTCCCCGTCAGTAAAAGCAGCCCTGTCTGCCCAAGGAAAGTGACCTTGGCTTTTCTTTAGCTTTGCAAGCACCAGCTCTACGGTGTCTCTCCATGACTCCCAGCAAAGAACTCCGGTAGACTACACCAGCTCCTTCTACCAGCCCCCAAAGTCATGATGATCACAAAAGTCAGTAAGCAAATTAATCTACAAAATCCAGACTCTAAAGCTCTCCTAATAAACAGTCCAATCTGGGAAACCACCTCTACCCTCTAAGAGACTGTCGCGCTCAGTGTGTATGAGGTTGTAGCAGCTTTTATGAAATAGCCTGTGAATCCCCCTATGTAAGAACAAAAAAGGAAACAGATGACGCACAAGAGATTTCGTTTTGGGGCTATTTGTGTTGAACTACACCAAACAAAGGTCAGCGAAGTGTCAAGAGTACCTAGCTGCACACACACAAAATACCCATAACGTGGAAACAGTTCATAACTACGTAGGCATTGTCGCGGGAACACTGGCAGTTCTAACAAGGCTGCCTTTCTGTTCCCCAATTCTGCAGTTTCACCAGCACAACTATGATAACAACATGAGATAAACACTTACCCACTGCTCCTGTGCCATCTCCTTCATTGACTCAGTGAAAGCCACGGCAAACCTAGTAAATGAACACAAATAATGGAAACAATTAGGCCAGAATGCAATCAACATAACCATGGAACAGCTCTTTAGCTGTTTATGGGAGACAAGGTAAGATGTTAAATTTACAACGCCATCAATCTTTGTTATTTGTGGTCATTAGTTTAATCTCTACTCATGTTAAAAAAAAGTTGTGAATGCAAGAAGTAAACCAAATGAAGCTTAAAACTTCCTATTGTTCTTTCTCCTTTTATGTAAGGTCAGAGAAGCAGAGATAAAATCAAAAGCCAGAAATCCAGACTCAAGAGACATGCAAGTGGCATGGTTGATCCACCCTGAATATCCAAGGGCAGGCGTCCCACAACATCAGCATGGCTAGAGGAAGACAATGGTGAAGCACTCAAGATGCGCTGGGCGTGCATGGGTGGTTAGTGCTAACATGTAGATTTCAGTACAGTTGGTCATTTCTTCGCAGATGCACAAATTGAGCTTCACAGATAAGAATATCAAGGCAATCTGTTTATTAAAACTGTGTTTGTCGCTAGGCGCAGTGGCTCACACTTGTAATCCCAGCACATTGGGAGGCCCAGGCAAGAGGATCGCCAGAGCCCAAGGGTTCGAGACCAGCCTAGGCAACTTGGCAAGACCTCTTCTCTACAATAAATCAAAAAATTAGCCGGGTGTGGTGGCGCACACCTATAGTTCCAGCTACTCGAGAGGCTGAGGCAGAAGGACTGCCTGAGCCCAGCAGGTTGAGGCTGCAGTGGCCATGAATATGCCATTGCACTCTAGCCTGGGTGACAGAGTGAGACTCTGACTCAAAAGGAGAAAAAAGAAAGAAAACAAAATTGTGTTTGTCACAAAATACAGGAATATTAACAGATACCTTTGAATGGAAATGTACACCATAACCCTAGATGGGAAGATTCAATACTACAAACAAGTTGATTTTTACCCAAAAAAATTTCACAAAATATTTCAAATACAATCCACAAGCAGATTTTTATGGAAATTTAACAAAATAATTTTAAAGTTTATCCATGCATACAATTGAGTGACAATTACCCCAAAAAAGATTGATAAAGAGTTTAGAGATAGAACTGTATTCACACATATCAAAAAAGAGTTGAAAGTGTAATAATTGACCGGGCTCGGTGGCTCAGCCACTTTGGGAGGCTGAGGTGAGTGGACTGCCTGAGCCCACGGGTTCAAGACCAGCCCAGGCAACTTGACGAGACCTCGTCTATACAATAAAAAATCAAAAAATTAGCCCAGTGCAGTAGCGCATGCCTGTTGTTCTAGCTACTTGGAAGTCTGAGGCGGAAGGATCACTGGAGCCCGCAGGTGGATGCAGGGGTGACCATGAGTGTGCGACTACACTCCAGCCTGGGCGATGGAGTAAGACTCCAACTCAAAAAAAAAAAAAAAAAAGTGTAATAATTCAGTGTTAACAATGCAAGAAAAGACAGAAAGATCAAAACCAAATACACAGCCAGAAACAAACCCATATATATATGAGAATTTAATACAGCGTAAAGTCAGAGAAGTGGTTAAATATGTGAAACAAGTTGTCAGCTGGCTACCTCACACCATATATCTAAAAAGCTGACTTAAGAGCTAGGTAAAAAAAAGTAATACTATTAGATAAATACAAAATGATATAAGTGAATACGTATCTGGTCTCAGCCTGGGAAAGGTTTTCTAAGCATAAAAAGAGATAACATTAGGCTGGGCATGGTGGCTCATGCCTATAATTCCAGCAGTTTAGGAGGCTGAGATGAGAGGATTGCCTGAGCCCAGGGGTTTGAGACCAGCCTGGGGAACTTGGTGAGACCTCATCTCTACCATAAATCAAAAAATTAGCTGGGCGCAGTGGCTCATACCTATAATCCCAGTACTTTGGGAGGCCAAGGTGAGAGAATTGCCTGAGCCTGCTGGTCCAAGATGAGCCTGGGCAACTTGGCAAGACCTCATCTCTACAATAAATAAATAAAACTTAGCCGGGTGTGGTGACACTTGCCTGTAGTTTCAGCTACCTGGAAGGCTGAGGTGGAAGCATCACCTGAGCCCAGCAGGTGGAGGCTGTAGTGGCCATGAGCATGCCACTGCACTCCAGTTTCAGCAACAGAGTGAGACTCTGACTCAGAAAAAAAAAGAGATAAAATCAATTCTAAAGATAAGAATGATTTGATTATATTCAATTATAAAGGCTATTTAAATACCACAAACAAATTAAAACAAACATAGAGAAAACATATGCAACTTATCTGGGGAGAAGGGATATAATACTTCTTAAGAAACTCTTCAAAAAAAAAACCAAGGAGGACTAACAGCCCAAGAGGGGGAAAAAAAGAATGGTTAAAATAGGAGATTCACATGAGAACAAATATGAATTAAGTGAAGTTTTGCTAAGAACAAAATAAATCTAATTAAAACAAGAAAACATTGTATCACATATAAGATTGGCAGTTGTAAAAATAAGTTGGCACTGTTGACAAAGATGAATAAATGAATTAAATCCACCCACTTGGTGAAGTGAAATGGGAACATTTCCTCTAGAGATAAATTTGAGAAATTGCATCAAGGTATCAATATGTTCATATCCTTAGACCTTGCAATTCTATCTTTAAGAATTAATATGGTAAGATTAATATAATCAGATAAGACAGAAACAGGTTGTTTCCCCCATGGTGTTGTTTATAATAAGGAAAACAATAAATGCCAATCTCAAAGGATAAGTTAAATAATTTATGATAGAATCCTATGCACCCACTAAAACCATGTTTAGCACCTTAATATTATAAAGAATGTTCATGATGCTTTGTTAAATAAAAGAATTGGCATATACCAACTTACTCATACTTCAGGGTACCACAGGGAGAACAGAGAAAGAGACATAAAAAGTATTCCAAAAAATAATGGCTGAAAATTTCCTAAATGTCCAAAAAAACATAATCTCTACTGATCCAAGAAGTTCAGTGAATCTCAAGTAGGATAACCATAAAATTTGTATTCAGACACACCATGGTCAAAATGTTGAAAGACAAAAAATAAAAAGGAAATCATGAATTTGGTCAGAGATAAATGTATGAAGGAGCCACAGTGAAGCTAACAGCTGACTTCTCAACAGAAACTATGGAGGTCAGAAAGCAGTGAGATGACATATTTAAAGCACTGAAGGAGAAAAAGTCAACCAAGAATTCTCAACCCAGCAAAATTATATTATTTTCTTTCTTTTTTTTTAATTTTTATGGTTACAAGATAGCTGTATATATTTATGGAGTACATGCGATATTTTGATACAAGCACAATGTGTAATGATCAAATCAGGATAACTGGAATATCCATCACCACAAACATTTATCATTTCTTGGTGTTGGGAACATTCCTAATCTACTCCTCTAGCTATTTTGACATATACAATAAATTAGTCACCCTATTGTGTTACCTAATGCTAGATTGTATTCCTTTTATCTAACTATATTTTAGTACCCATTAACCAACCCCTCTTTATGTCTACCACTACCCCTCCCAGCCTCTATGGTGAAATAAAGACATTGCCAGATAAACAAGACTGATAGCTTAAGAAAAAAAAAAAAAAAGCATGTGTCATTTGACCCAAAGTTTCAAAAATAATAATAAGCAAGAATACAGTCACAGATCCACAACTATAAAGGACTACCTACCAAAGTGTGGCAATGGTCAAAGTACACAAAAAGCACAAAGAGAACATGAGGCGATCTATTTTCCTCGACTTTGGTATTTCTCAAAATGTCCACATTGCATTGGCACGGTCTGTTTATCAGTATTTTTCAAAAACGATATACATTTCCCCCTCTTTCTCTTACAGTGGCACTTTCCCCCTAATCACTGTAAAAATGCTATTTTTTCTCCCATCTTAAAAACAACACATTTGAAATTTTTATTTATTTCATTCTGTACTTTTGTATTTCAATTTTAATAATTTTTTAGATACAGGGTCCCACTCTGTCATCCAAGCTGGAGTTCAGTGGCATGATCATGGGTCACTGCAGCCTTGAACTCCCGAACTCAAATCATCCTCCTGCCTCAGCCTCTCAAGTAGCTGGGACCACAGGTATGTGCAATCAGGCCCAGCTAACTTTCAGAAAGTTGTTTGTAGAGATGAGGGTCTTGTTATATTGCCCTGGCTGGTCTCAACCTCCTGAACTCAAGTGACACTCCCACCTCAGTCTTCCAAAGTGAAAAACTCAATTGACCCCCTTTCAACAGCTTTCCCTCCAATAATTTCCCCTTTCCTCCCCTTTTCCATTTTCCCCTTGAAAACAAAAGCCCTAGAGTCACCTTAACTCAACACCTCCAATTCCTCTCTTCCATCCTCCATCTGAACCACTCTGGGCAGCCCTCTGACTGTACCACTGAAACTGTTCGTCAAGGTCACTAAGGGCCTCCATGTTGATAAATCCAGTGGCTCCACCCTCGGTCTCCATCTTGACCTCTCAGGAGCACTGGATACACACAATCCCTCCTTTCCTCTTGAAATGCTTCTGCAGGAAACCATCTCATTTCCTCTTACTGGCCATGGATCTCAGGCTCACCAATTCCTCTCCCTGGCTTCCCAAAAATGGATGCTCCAGGATTCAGATCTCAGACTTCTCATCTCTACCTGCGCTCACCTGGTGATCTCATCACTTCTCAGTTATCCACGGCATCGTGTATTGTCCAACTCCCCACCTTACAACTGCTGACCCCTCCCCTCCTCTGCACAGGCTACTACCTACTTCACATCTCCATTTGGGTATCCATTGCAAACCTTAACGCCATACATATGTCAAATAATAGGAGCCACACATCTGGTGATGATATAAAAATACATGTGGGTCACACGGGGTGACTCACGCCTATAATCCCAGCACCTTGGGAGGCTGAGGAGAGGACTGCCTGAGCCCAGGGGTTAGAAACCAGCCTGGGCAACTTGGCAAGACCTTATCTCTACAATAAAACAAAAAATTAGCCGGGCATGGTGGCTCATGTTTGTGG